TTGTTTTTTGTTTTGTTTTTTTTGTTGTTTTTTGTGTCATTATTATGGTGTCAGGACAGCCAATCAGACACTGCGCATCATCAATTCGACAAACTGTCGCATATTGATATGTATCTGTCTCCTAATAATTGTGGGAAATAATTAAGACGATCAGTCTTCAGTGATTATTAATAACATAATCATAAAACTTTTAAAGGTAAGGTAAATGTGTCGTTTCCCGTGTACCTCAAGGAACGTCACATCCGGCAGCTGGCAAGTTAAAAAAAGGGAGGGAAAAATGACAGAAGCAGCGGTCAAGCGAAACACTAAACGTTCATCTCGTTATCATAACACGCGCTGAGACATTATACTGCGTAAATTTGTGACATGTATTGTATTTATAAGAACACCAGCGCGCCAGCTGTTGGACTCGTGGGAGAGCTTTAGCTTTTACCTGGCTATGCTGTTAGCACGAGTCTTCGCTACCTAACCGCTGACAGCGGGTAGCTTGTTGCTAATTGACGAGAAGCGGGTTTGTGGGCTGTTTAAAAGGACTTTTATCGGCTGTTGGCTGAATGCTAAAGCTGTTAGCTTGCAGACGTAAACACCGCCAGCTTCGACGGCCGCGTGCGGCGAAATGAGCGAATAAAACACACCGACACACATCATTAAATAGTTTGTACCTGTTATAGCGTACTCGTCTGTGTTTCCGCTTTGCCTACTGGCAAAAAAAAGTGACGTTTCTGGTCTATATGGAAAAAAAAAGGTGTCGCGTTTGTCTTTTCTGGTCGATAACTCCGCAGCTGTGACAGTCGAAATTACGTCATCGCCAAGCGACAAACAACGCATTGCGTCATTAATACTTTAAATGAGCAACAACAGTAACGTAATGTCACATCACTTGAAAAGGAATATAATTAATCTTATAATGTTTCTTATAAAGTTTTACATACAGAAATTTAAATTTTCAAAGATAAAACCCAGCTTGAGTGTTGTTGGAAGAGTTGGATGTATATTTTTGTTCTATATCTGGCTGTAGGTTGAAGGAAGCTGTTACAACCGAGAAATTGTGTTCCTATTTTAATATTTTCAATGTTTCTTACTTTTGATTTTGGACCCAATTTATGTCTTTATTTATTTATACATTTTAAAATATGCTTTTGCTTAATGTGATATCTATTTTGTGTTTCTCTCATACGCCATGCTTCTGTTATGTACAATCTGTTAATAAAGTTAAAAAAAACAATAACATAATGTGAGATAAGAATATAACAATGAATAAAATAGTATTCAGTCTGTTATGATCACAGGACTATTGTCTTTTACCAGCAATACAAGTCTAAATGTATTTGAGTGCTCTGTTAATTAATCATCTAAAACAAAAGTCATGATCATAAACAAAGCAGCAGCAGCTACTTGTATGTCTCCTTATTGTGTAAAATACTGCAGTGATTTAGAGGTACAAGTTGAACATGATGAGTCGAAAAGTGATGGGAATTCCTCCTATGTGTTGTTTTGTTTCACTTCCTGCTCCGAGAGGCCAAGGCAACAAGCTGCCTACCACATGTCGTTGTGAAGGGAAATGAAGGGATTAGGATGAGCTCAGGACCAGCTCGGGACGAGACTCGAGCAAACACGCGTCCCTTCCAGGAATCCTTGCTTGCGTTTTATTGCTCTCTATGAAGTTAACACACACATTTGCAATACATGTGTGATTGCCACTCACAGGAGGCCCCTTGTCAACAGCACGGCCGGATTGCAGCACATTTTCACGGTGGGTTCCAAGAATCTGACAGCAAATTGTGATTATTTCCACAAAAATGGGGAAAGATGGACAGGGACTGCAAGGAAAAGCCCTCCCCACACAGAGACGACACTCGGGGGACTAAAAGTCAAAAATGTGTTCACAAACCTCTGATCTATTACAAAACCATTCTCCCCGTAGCAAATAATGGAAACAAAAATAGTGCCTTCCAAGGTCTAAATGCTACCATCACAAAACTTGTTTCCCCTACAAAATATAAAGGGAAAAGAAATAGTAGGATACACGGTCAAATTGTGGCCATTATCAAAGATGTAGATGAGCATCAGGCTGGCATGGCAACTTTAGGGTGCCTCGTTGTTGGCCGTGAGTGGTCGTGATTGCGTGTACGTCACGCAGAAAAGGCAATAGAGCCAAGTAAAAAGTCCAACATGTCCATTATTAACCACCCCAAAAGTATCAAATTGAAAAAATGAAATCTATTGTTATTGTGGTGCAAGACAAATATGAAAGTGTTTCTCTTTGGGCTTCTAACTTTTATAATAATAATAATCATACATTTTATTTATAAGCGCCTTTCAAAATACCCAATGACGCTTTACAATCAAAAGAGCAATAAAACCACAGATAAAATTATAAATAATAAAAGCGATGAGTTTAAACTGTATATGCAATTTTAAATAGGTGGGTTTTAAAATGAGTTTTGAATATAGGATGGTTATATAAATATATATATATAAGCCAAGCTGGGAAATGTCACCAGAACCTCGGGAGTTCCTCCCTAGGCCTTGTCGGGTCCAACAGAACCGCTTTCAGTTTCTGCTCTCTGTCAGTAGATGAGCTTTTCCACTTTCATCTCCCCAAGTTGTTCAACATGTTGGCAGAGCGCTGCAGAAAAAGCTGAAAAGTTCCTTGTAAATTCGAGTCCATAAAGGTGGATGGTGGCGTTTACTAGCAGCGGTGGCCTAGTTTTGCCCATGAACCGCTCGGGGGTTGCAGCTGGGTGGGGGTCTTAGTGATGAGTGAGGATTAAGTGATGTTTGTTATGGAACCCAGCCTGATGACTTGTCTCGGCAAGTTCCTCATTCGGACCCCCTGGCTGGTCAAAATACAAGTCTTAGAAACAGTTGTGTGTACCTAATGAAGTGTCTGTGCAGTGTGTTTTTTATCAGAATTCTCAAAATCCAGTGAGAGACTGGCATGTTGTGTTGTCGTGACAATGTCGTCTGCATGAAACTGCATCTTTCTTCCTAATCTGTGCCAAGAATTGAATCGGAAACAAACACCAAAAAAATAAAAAAAAGACTCCAAGACCATCGCTATTCGGTAACAAACTTTCACAGTGTACAGTTTTTGTCATATTTCGTTGGCGGAATGCTCACATGTCCAAAATCACTAGCTTTCAGGAAATCCAAAATAGGCCATTTTATCCTGAAAAAAATTGAACCGAATTTACTCCAATTTATTTCATCAAGTGGTTGCTGTGGTTCTTGAACTCTCTGTCTATGTGTAATTTTTTTCCATTTGGGATCCTTTGAGAAAATGCATACCTTTCCCCAATTTGATCCTTTTTTCTTCCCCAGCGACTAACATTATTTTAACCAAATATTCATCATCCTGAAAGTCAAATCGCAAGACTGCCTGGTAGCAGAGAAGGAGTCTTTTTTATTTTTTTTTTTAGTTTAAACGTCACGTTGAGTTTAGTTTGAGCTGAATACGTTACAACCTTGACATCAAAAATGTTCTTCGTGTATAGTTTTGAAATGCACTTATACATTCTACTTTATAAATAACGGCCGGGGTTCTGTCTCCCTTAGAACCAATTTACCTCACGTAATATTTTACTTTCTGCGGAGACTTCAGAGCATGCTAGAAAAGAAGGCTAAAGTCACCATTGGAAGCCTTTTCACTGTTTTCTCAACGGCTCTGTCAAGGTCAAATGACATAAGAGTTTGTTTATGAGTGTTGCTACCTGCAAGAGTGCGTGACATCAGGGTCAAATTTCTTCGTGGGGTCCCTGAACAAGCGTTGCCAATATTGATTATGACACAATAGCTGCATTGAGAAAATATGCTCGTCATCATCGCTCATTTTTTTTTTCTTCTGGTACTTTTTCCTCTTTTATGTCCAAGTGCAACCAGGTGGCATCAGTGAATGAAGCCTCTGTGCTAGTCTTACCACACACACACACACACACACACACACACACACACACACACACACACACACACACACTCGCACTAATCATTTGGAAGCAGGAGGCTAGGAGGGGTTTTTATCGGGCTGGGGGGGTGGTCTGAAGTTTTGTTTCCTGCGTTAACTTCACAAGGTTCTTATTGTTCTTGTGAGCATTCATGAGATGTTAACGTCTGCACTAAATTATGTTTAGGAAAGTCTTGTCAGGAGGTCTGAGCGTCATCATCATCAATGATGTCACAACTTTTGTTTCGAAATGCTAACACACACAAACAAACACACATGGAAATTTCTGGAAAATGAAACCGTTCAGCTCACTCTTCATTGTTTGGACTGCTTGGTGTGTGTTTGGACACGTGGCATGTTTGTGCCCCTCAACCTTAAAGTGACACTCCTCAAGACCTAAAAATAACCCTCACCTGACCCCTCAACATGTACCCCCAACCTTAATTGTAGCATTATCAAGAGTTCACCACACCCTAACTCTTAAAGCCTAGCTAACCCTTACACGAATCCCTGTCGTGTCCTTTTACCCTAATTCTTAATCCTTACCCTAGCCATTAACCCCAACTGTTAATTATAATCTTCAATTTCATTCCAACTTTTTGAATCCGACACTCACCCAAAAAAGACAGATGGGTGAAGATTCCCGGAGCCTGTCCTCAGGGTCCACACCCGGGAAAACTTTACTCCGAAATGCTAATTATAATCCAAGACCATACCCCTAACACATAATTTAAATCCTAATCCTTAAAATTACACTTTAATGTCATTTCAATGTCACCCGATGACCTTGAACCTGAATTCTCAGTACTTTCACTTCAGGCTGCACGATAGCGCCGCCATGTGACACAGTTCTCATGTTACAAACAGCAAGACAAAGTTAATAAAGATCAAGTCAATGGATATCAAATAAACACAATCGTTACAAAAGGAGAAAGAAAAACAACGTATGCTTTTTTTTTTTTTTTTATTGAAAGGATTATTTACTTCACATGCTGGATATCAAATAAACACAATCGTTACAAAAGGAGGAAGAAAAACAACGTATGTTCTTTTTTTTTTATTGAAAGGATTATTTACTTCACATAATCAAAGAAAAGAAAATGACAGTGGGGGGAAAAAAAGTAGATGAGAAGAAAAAGGGTTCCCGTGGCGACATGATCAGAAGACCACCACTTTGCTTTGCTTGGGTTTGGTTTTGATGACGGGAACGTGGACGTCCTCGTGGTCGGCGCTCATATTGTTGGACAACCAGCCCAAAGTTAGGGTATGACCTGCAAAAAGATTTTTTTTTAAATGATAAGCACTTTTGCAAATCAACATTTCAACACTAGCAGCATTTAAAACGCTGCTGAACTGTGTGTAAACTGTGTAGTGTAGTTAAAAAAAAAAAGACTATATGCATGAAAGCATTTTTCTTCTCTTGCACACATGTTCCATTTTTCCTTCCTAACTGTGTAGTGTAGTTAAAAAAAAAAGACTATAGGCATGAAAGCCTTTTTCTTCTCTTGCACCCATGTTCCATTTTTCCTTCCATTTTTCAACTTTCCACCCCGCGCCCCCTCTCTTGCCTGAAAGCAAACTTTTGCCCCAGCCCAGAGAACAATAGCGTGTAAGGTTCCAAAGTCCACTAGGTGGCGGCTTTGGACTCACTGGAAGCTTGATGTTCTGGACAGTCCTTCTGGAAATGTTCCACCGATCCGCAGACTCGACAGCTACCACCTGGGAACCAAGTAAAAAAGTCAAAATGGGAGTCCACGCAGACAGCCGATGAGGGCCAGCTGCGATAGAATTCAAAAACTGAATGAGTGTCATATGTAGGTCATCGCATGAACGCAACTGTGCACAGATGTCAAATTTCAACCACGTCACAGACTCATTTTCATTCACCTCGGTTATGCATCAAAGGTATGCAATCCAGAATGCATTTTGGTAATTATGGTGAGAAATCATTATCATGTGCAATGTCTTCACATAGATGAATTTCACTCTTTATTAATACTAGACCGTTCAAGGTAATTTGATCACATTTCCCCAGAGTGTATCAAACTGGTAACCTTTTGCGTTTTAATCAGTACCCACAAAGTAACTCTCAGTGTTGAAAAGGTTGATGACCACTGTTAATGTAGTACTGTGCTTCCATCTGGTGGCTGACAGTGAAATAACATCCAAAATAAACTAAAATTATAAACAGTACCAAAAAAATAAAAAATAATCTCCCGGTTAGCAGATAAAAACCGTACCTTGAGCGTAGAGGCCTTTGGGATTGTCAGGGCAGGAGCGTGACAAATGTCCTGTCTGACCACAAATGAAGCACTTGGCGTAGGGGTAGTCGCCTGCAAAAATAAAAGTCACGTTCAACTTGTGTTATTTACCAAAGGAGGACTAAGAGGAAAGAGGAGGAGATGGGGAGGGCGTGTCCTGACCAACGGCAGGGTCCACTTTGGCCCGGCAGCGCTGGATCTCGTGCTCGGTGGAGCCACATCGGTAGCAGATATCGCGACCCATCTCATGGTCGTGCTCGGCCTCGGGACAGTCGGCCAGGCCGTGGCCGGGCTTCCTGCAGTTGAAGCACAGCTGCAAAGAGAATTCAAACAACTTGATTGAACAACACCGAGTCGCACAAAGCTGGGCAATATGACCTGACAGTTAAAAAAAAAAAAAAATAAAATAAAATTTTCACCAAAATCTTTATTTTTTACTATTTTAGCATTTCGCCCCTGCTTTACTTATTATAGAAGAAGCAAATGATCATGACATAATTGAAATTAAGTTCATTTTTTTCACAGCATTAACTTGCATCTACTTCTCCAGAATTTTCTTTACACCTAACGTGAAAATACAGAAAGTGCTTCATCTTGGGAAGTGAAGGCCCTTTAGTCACAAAAAACGCAAACATGTTCCTTTATCAGTTCTCTCACCATTTTGTTCTTCTTGTCTGTCTGCCTCTTGACTCTCCTGTTTTCTCTCCTCTGGTCCTTCTTCAAGGCCACCTCCACCTCCCGTCGCAGCTCCTGCTGCCCGGAAGTCGTCGTCGCTGGAGTTTGTCCGCTCTGCTGCAGAAATTCAAGGAAGCCATTGACGTCTTGGTCTGTGTATTCCTTCTTCTTCTTGTTGGCCTTCTTCACCGCAGAGCCACCCAGTTGGGTTCCTCGAGAGTGGCTACTCTGAGGTGGTCCCCCTCTTCCTCCTCTTCCTCCTCGTCCTCCCGCCCTCAGCTGACTCCAGGGTGTGGCCTCGGCCTCCTTGTGCTTGTGGATGTTGTTGGCTCGCGCCCACCTCGTCATGGTGAGGTCGTCAAACTGTTAGGGGCTGAGCAAAACACAACAACCTTCATTAAGGGGCTGGACGTGCTGACACAACTCATCTGACCCCCGTATAGTGGTGCTTTGAGATTCGAGTGCATCAATTCGTGTTTTTTCGAGTTACGAGACGCCAAAATCTGACTGAGTTGCAAGCTAAATTTTAAGATACAAGCCAATTTAAGATAATTTGGCAAGTAATGAGTTAGCAAATGTACGCATAGGTTTGTGTGCCTGATGTTTTTACTCAAATCATTGAATAGTTTGTCAATGTAATGTGCAGTTTGATCAAGTTATAACCACATTCACAGCGATTTCAAATAACTTTCTGACCACCTCTGTCCACTGCGTATGTACGTTACTATATTAGCTCGACGATTAGCGCACACGTTGTCATGTATTCGGTAACGTGACAAATCCCCGCAGTCAACTACAACCAACTACCTAAAATTAAACACCAACTATTGAAGGTTTGATTCATCCTTTGACCAAGCATAAAAAAATACAAGATTACCTTTAAAAAGTTCAAGTTCCATCCATGTGTTGCTGTTTTCCCGGAAGTTTTTTTTTTTCCTTGTTGAAAGAAAACAGGCAAAAATAGCGTTCCATCGCCACCCTCTGGTTCGGGGGACCTTACGCGCAGTGATTACTTTCCTCCGAATAAAATAAAAGATTATCGGCGAATTATTGCTCAGAATTAATTTTAATTAAACCATTCATAAGTGGATATGTCAGTTTTGTATGCGCACTGTCCCAACAAAATGTCCCTTTCCACATTTCAAATTGTGTTCGTCAATCTCATCGCTCGAGACGAATTACGTTAGTGTAGATGACGACAACAAACTGCGACGCGAGCGCAGCATGAGTGCGACGCGCGTGTGCGTGTAGTGGAGCTGCAGAAATGGCGACCGAGCGGCTTCAATTCCACCAAATGGGCCTTGACGACCGTCTTTTAAAGGTAACAAAACTTCGCGGTGTCTTTTACATGCGTATTACACTCAAACGGAAGAGTTAACCGCAGAGTAATGTAAATGTACTTTTCTATGTGTCTCGCGGTCCCCTCGTCATTCGTAAACGTGTTACGAAAATAACGCGACTGTTTACTTATCCTCCTCAATCAGAATCAGATTTATTGACCAAATATGTAAAACACCCAAGAAATTTACCTTCACGGTTCCAGCCCGTCCAAAAAGTTTATTTATTTAATGGGGCAATGCATAATTGAATAGGAAGACTTTGTCTTAAGTATGTCAGATTCGGCACAATTGTATTTTTTCACGACCATTTTCAGTGTATAGGGAACAGTTTACATCGGACACAACATAAAAAGGTTCAATGACGTGCGATAACCTGTAAATAAAATACAATATGAAACAAGTGTAATAAAACTACTACATGACACCTAACCTGATGTTAAATGGCTTTTTAGTCACGTTCTATCAAAAAGCGCCCGTGGTAGGGGTCCTCAGAGGCTTGTAGTGTGCCCAGTTCACACAATGGATGATCTGTTTAGGCGGTGGCAGATCTGGGTTGGTCCCAGCCCACCTTGATCCAGGAGAAGGCCATCCCCCTGGCTCTGGAGGGCAAAGACCTCCTGGCTCGAGCCAGGACCGGCTCTGGAAAAACTGCCGCTTATGCCGTACCTGTCATCCAACGCATCCTGGCTTCCAAACAGGTGACCAATGCAAACATCCAGCCCCTAAAAACCGAGCAGGCTAGCTGTGACTACCGGTACTTGTTTCTTGTTGTCATCTTCAGAGTGTTAGCGAGCAGGACGTGAGGGCTCTGATACTGGTGCCTACCAAGGAACTGGGGCGGCAGGTCCAGACCATGATGAGGCAGCTGACTGCGTACTGCTCTAGGGACGTCCGCGTGGCGGACATCTCCGGAAAAGCCGACGTGTCTGCGCAGAGGTCACTTTAGTGTCTTCAAAAGAAGCGCATGTCGAGAATTAGGAACCTGTAGTACTCTGATATTATCATACTTATCTTATTATAGTCAGGAACTTTTTGTCTGCTGCACATTTCTGATGTTTGACATTTAAAGTAATAGAAAAATCAAAGTCCCATGTAGGATGTGCATTCAATCTTTATTTTGTGTCCTAGCAGTTGCTAAATAGTGCTCCTTGGCCCGCAGGCCCATCCTGATGGAGAAGCCAGACGTGGTGGTGGGCACGCCGTCCCGTGTGCTGGCCCACCTCAACGCGCGCAATCTGAGCCTGCAAACCTCACTGCAGATGCTGGTGGTGGACGAGGCCGACCTGGTTTTTTCCTTCGGTTTCGAGGACGACCTGAAGAATCTGCTATGGTGAGAGAAGGCACGAGAGCTTTGTGTTTGTTACCCCCGGACTCACAGACGAATCTGTTCGAACGCAAAGAGACTTGACTTGATTTCAACTTGAACTTTTTGAGTGGCTTGCTTAGATCGAGGTGTTTTTTTGACCCTGCCTCTCCGGGCATTAACAATACGCCAACTGACTAAACTGTTAACAGCAAGACGCGACCCCTGAGCTCACAACAGTCAAGTCTACATTTATACACTGATGCCCACGTCACTCACAAGGCTAGGCCCCGCCTTTGAAATTTATCTGTAAATGAAAAAAAATATATTTCTATTTTTTTTTTTGTCGATGTTAATGCTTGAAAGCAAAATGCTCCCAAAAACAGTTTCAAAGATTATTTGATATCAGAAGAAAAAAAATCTTCTTTTGCTTTGTTTTATGGTCATTTAATTTTTCTACAAATTGAGATTTTTGCAAATTGCCTCGCCCCCCCCCCACCCTTTTATTATTGTCGAGCCCTGGCGATATGCATCTGTGATCATTTCACTGTATTGTTGCGTGTGCTAAATGGAAATATTGTATCCGACCCTCCTGCAGCCACCTGCCAAAGATCTACCAGTCCTTCCTCATGTCAGCCACCCTCAGTGATGACGTTCAGGCCTTAAAGGAGCTTCTGCTGCACAATCCCGTAAAGTCCTTTGCACCTATTTCACCATGTCGTACCTAAAGTAAATGTAGTTTTAGTTTTAGTAATTTAAACCTTTGAATTCAATCAACTGCTATTTGAACACACCCGGAGCAACAATGCATTCAAACAGAGCGTTCAACACATGCATATATTCTTTCCATTCTGGAGGAACAACAAATATTACAAGAAATTATTACGGGATCTTCTTTGTCTCTTCTTCTTGTTGTAATTTCCCTGTATGTCTATCAGTCGAGCTCAATGATGCCCCACTATTGTAGCACAATTTGGCACTGCACTGAAGTTGTGCTACTCTAAATGCCAACTTGCCTGTCTACTTTCAAAACCCATAAAAAAGCACTCACCAAGAAGTCCGTTATAGCGAAGAAATGAACAATGAAGCAGGGAGTGGCGGCGATCACAATATGTGGTTGTGACGGCATATGTGCCCACCCCCCCAACAGGTGACACTGAAGCTAGAAGGTTCCCAGCTGCCAGACAGCAGCCAGTTGCAGCAGTTCAGCATTCAATGCGAGGAGGAGGACAAATTCCTGCTGATCTACACGCTGATCAAGCTGCAGCTGGTGAAGGGCAAGACGCTCATTTTTGTGGGAGCCGTGGACCGATGCTACCGCCTCAAGCTCTTCCTGGAGCAGTTCGGTATTCCCGCATGTGTGCTCAACTCGGAGCTACCCATCCAGTCCAGGTCAGACTCCAGACCTCAACACCCTTCTCCAGTGACATTTTTGGGGAAAATGTACTCTACTTTGGTACATATAACCGGATGTCATCTGCTTTTCTAGGGAATTTGACCTAATTCTAACATTTACATGTTAAACAAAAGGGGTCCAAGAACTGACCCTTGGGGCACATCCTTGTCAGGGCCATTAGATCCACTTTAAAAAACTCGTAGAGCTTTTACACGGATTTTACTAAGTTTGAATATGATTGACCACAAAACTATTCCACAATACTGAAAGTTTGGGTACCAAAGTCAAGTCGCCATGACCGATGTTGTTCCTACTGCAGGAGTCACATCATCACGCAGTTCAATCAGGGATTCTATGACTGCATCATCGCCACGGACGAGCGCACTGTGGCCGACCCCGCCGCCACTTCGAAGGCTGCAGGAAAAATAAAAAATAAGGGGGGAAAGTGAGTCCTCATTCAAACAGGACTTGAAGTCAATCTTTTGGAATCAGGGCCAAATGTCATGAAGTGGGGCTTTTGCTGTGTTGTTAGGGCTAAAGAGAAAGAATATAGCGTCTCCAGAGGTGTGGATTTCCAAGATGTTGTCAACGTCATCAACTTTGATTTCCCCGCCACCGTGGAGTCGTACATCCATCGGGTGGGAAGGTAAACAAACGATCTTCTCACCAAAAGTCTCAAGGACCCAAAATTGATGTTTAGGTTTCATTTAGGACGGCGAGAGCTGACAAACCGGGCACGGCCTTGTCCTTTGTATCTCATACGGAAACCGCTTTGCTCTCTGAAGTGGAGGAGATGCTGACAGGAGGTCAAGATGAGTGGTCACTTGTGCACATTTCCTTGTTTGATCGGTAATGTAACAATCTCTTTGTTATCTGCAGATAATGCGGAATCGTCCCTGAAACCCTACCAGTTTAAGATGGAAACCATTGAGGGCTTCAGGTACAGATGCAGGGTGAGTCTTTTTTTTTTTTTCCAACAGCGCCTGAAATATACATCGACACATAGACACTTGGGACAGATTGTTCTGCTCGTATTACTCAGGAACCCCATAAGTCATTGACACCTTTGAGGGATGTTTTATTTTTAATGCTCGTCTTCCTGCAAAAAAAAGGCCTAAAATAGAAATTCAAAGACTGTTTGGCTCAATTAATGATATCCTTTGTCAAAAGAGTCACAAAAAAATAAATATGAGGGCCCGAGTATAGATCCCTGAAGAACCCCATTCATACTGTGGACGGATGCTTTGTCTTTTGCTTGTGTTGGTGCACAAAAAAAGTGCCAGAAGAAGACTATGTAGGACTTGTAATATGACCATGAGGAACCTCACAACTTAAGCCAAACAAAAACGTTCCAAATTTCATGGAAGAAACAACTTCTGAAAATGTTTTCTTTTTGTCTGTTGCCTTGTCTTCTGGTTGAACAGCAGTCTGTTTGTTCCGTGTTGTTGGAATGTTGTTAATTGGGGATTTTTTTTCTCCATCCAAAGGACGCAATGCGATCGGTCACCAAGCAGGCGGTGAGAGAAGCCCGACTGAAGGAGATCAAGCAGGAGCTGCTCAATTCGGAGAAGCTGAAGGTAAGCCACAGCTTGCTCAACGAGAAAGATTTGTTTGTTTTTTAAGGTAATGTGCGAAGGTCATGTTTGGTCGCCTGTGCTTGTCAATCAGACGTACTTTGAGGACAATCCCAGAGATCTGCAGCTCCTCAGACATGACCAAGACCTTCACCCTGCCATCATCAAGCCTCACCTTAAGAACATCCCAGAATACCTCAGTCAGTCACGTTAGCTCGTTAGCATTCTAGCATCGACTTCTCGCTGACTAAAAGTTGACTTTGTGACCTCGCGCAGTTCCTGAAGATCTGCGGGGTAGATTCAACCCGCTGTCCAATAAGAGGAGGTTGAAAAGGACAAACCAAAAGCCCAAACCACACGGAGTCGCCAAAAGTAGCTTCAAGGTAAGACACGCCCGCGTTTGCACCATACTGACACGTCACAACCTCAGGAAGCCTTTTTTTTAAACAATCATGTTTTTGTTTCAGGGGAAGAATCCGCTGAGGAGTTTCCAGTACACAAAAAGGGACCGGAACAAAAAGCAAAGCCGTTCATAATAAATCTGGATGAAAGGTGATCAAAAATGAACCTATATTAACTTCGTCTTCTTCAAAAAAAGACAGTAATATCATACATTGCCTTTTTTTTCTTGCTTATTTCCATTCATAATAAAATGTTTCTACGCAATTCCCCAAATCAATTTGTAATGTTTTAAAATTAATTAATTAATTTACTTGAATCGAAGCGGTTTTACCTTCAACAAAATGAACATTGTGGAACAATTACATTGTGGCATGCGCTGAACCCTTTACACACAATTTATCAAATGAATGTGCATCGATTCTCAGTGGCCTGAGGCTTTTTTTTTTTTTTTTTTTTTGGAACAGAAACTCGGACAAATCTTTTATCATCGAATATCACACAAAAAAATCGGGGTTCCTCTGTAATCTACAATTATTCCCCTTGAATTGCCGTTAATCCATTCCAGCCCCCCACCAAAAAAAAAAAAAAGCACAACAGTGTTTTTGTTTTTTTTAATAATGCACAGTAGCACTGGTTTGTATAAAAACATGAGATTACAAAAAAAAAAACATTTTATTTTTTATGAAGTGTAATTACTGTAGGGAGTGTAATATTTGAGTGCGAGATGCGTGGCCTCTTGGAGTCAGTCAGTCTGATGGTGAGAATCTGGCTGTGGGTTGTGGCCTACAACAGCTCCTTGTGAGTGTTCTCATGTCGTATTTCTGTGTTTGACTCTTTGTCCCATTCATTAAATGGTAATGGGGGCGCCCATTGACCTCAAAGTGCCTTCCTTGGATAAAATCTGCTTCATTCTTATTCCATGAACGCAGTTGGGTGGGGTCACATAGAACACATTATTACAAAGGACATATTTTCATCAAGTTCCTCTTTAAGAGGTCATCTTGTCCCTTGGAAAGGGGCACGTGTTTGGCGTTCTCTCGAGATGCTCCTGCACGTGTCAGTCGATGGTGAAGTGAAAGGGGTAGTCCTCAGTGGGCACTGAGTCAAAGATGATGCTGTCAAAGGGATTCTCGGTGGACAAGTTGTCCACAGGGAACCAGGAGTCATACCAGGAAGTGGTGGTCTGGGGTTTCCGTGTGGTGGTGGTGGCGGTGGTGGTGGTCGTAGTGGTTGCGACGGTGGTCGCGGGTGTGGTCCTGAGGCCGGCGCGTTGCTTCTGAAGACGGAGCCGGCGCAACCGCAGGATCCTCAACCGGCGCAGCCGCTCCGCTCGCTGGGCGGCGGCGTGCTGCTCCTCCGGGGAGAGAGTGCTGGCGGCGGTGGCGCCAGGCGGCGTGGCCTTGGCCTTGGTGACCACGCGGATGGGCCGGTTGCCATTGAGCGCCATGATCTGCTTAATGCGGTCCCAGTTGGACTTGGCCAAGGTGAAGCTGCAGGACGTGGCGCCCGAGTCGTAGCCCACCATGCACAGGCGGGTCTGCGGCGTGTAGCCGTCCGCCTTAGCCGTCACGCGGTACTCGCCGGGATTCAGAAGGCGCCAATAGTCACCGCCTGGGGCTGCGGAGAGAGACACTTAGCATTTTTTTTCCAAATCAAACAATCTGTGTAGTTACCATTGAAACTATTAACTCATTCAATCCCAGCCATTTTCACTTTAGCAACCCCTCAATCACAGAGTTTTACTGGATTTTGACTATCTTGCAAGGCCCACAGAATATTTGGTTCTTATGCTATATAAACATGCCTACCAAAATAAAGTTTGGACGCTCTTCTTTCAGCAGAAAAAAAAATTGTTTCTATCTTTTTCCATTCTTCAGCAATCGGCATTACAAAATGGATAAGTTTCATGAAAATGGCGATTCCTGGGCAAAAAAACTGAGAAAAAGAGCTTTTTGTAAAAGCATGCATTTCAAGCATGTGAGGCACCACTGCCACCTACTGGTCGCTTTTTTACATGATTTACAATGCAATTCTCATTCACAGATTGCATCAGACCCTCCTCTCTATGACGCAAAAAAAAAAAAAAAGACGTACATGTACGTCCTTGGTAGGCGGGGCCTAATTTTAAAAAGATGTACAAGTACATCTTGTGGAATGAAAGAGTTAATATGGGCATTTCCAAACATCATGGAGCGACTGTCAATTCCGGATGAATTTTTTAGTATTCACGGCAGGTGTCTGTTTACCGGTGATGACGTCATGGCGTATCCCTTCCACGGATATGGTGGCGTTGGCCAGTGCGTTTCCCTCCGTGTCTTTGACCACACCCTTTATCCCGCGATGCACCTGGGACACAAGACAGAAACCAGAACTGGAATGACAGTCGGGAGGAGCAGTTCTTTACCGAACTTTATTCAGCCAACGTTGATTTCCAGTCCCAACATTCCTAGTTCGGAGCAGCTCGTTATGAGCTGTGTGATTATCGTCGTGTCACTTAACCAGAGCAGATTCTCATTTACGATGCCGACCTGGCTGCCCACGGCAGAGATGAAGCTGATTTGCGTGTCCATCGGCGGCCTCAAGGTGTCACCGTGGTTCTGACCTGCTCAATGAATGACAGCAGAGCCTCTCGGTTGTTCTCCCATTCCAGAGGAAGTTCGCTCTCGTGCGGAAACTTGTCGCAGCCCAGGAAGATGGAGATCTCCAAGCAGTTGGTGTGCAGATAGCTGAAGTCATTCATGCCTACGGAAGAGTGGTCACGTTAAGCGGGTGGGGATGGAATGAGACAATCTTTTGGGGGACGATGTCAAGATGTTGTCGGCAGGCAAGAAGTCTCTCTTTTCTCTAATTTGACATCTATGGTTTCTTTCATACCTCTTTCAAAACAGCGGCCTGATGTGTCTCTAATTTGTACACCCTCATTTGACCTCATTTATTTATTTCGGAATCTTAACGATGTTTTATTTTGAAAAATTACTGGATTCTCTGTTACATCCGTCGACAGTGTGTCACTCTTGACGCAGGTGAAGGAGACGCTTCTCGGTCACATGATAGATTAGCGCTAAAATGAAACCCAGGAGCTAGCAAAATGAGTAAAAAAAACCCAAACGTCTTTGGGAAGTGGAAAAGGCACAGCCAGGAGACGGAAGAAGGGCCTATGACTTTGAAGAAAAACAAAACTACATTTACAAGACACTATCAGGAGACCTACTTAAAATACGGCTTCATCACAATGGGAGATTCCCACGCGCCAAGCCCACTCTGCATTATATGCGGCGATGGTGAGTCGTATTTTTCATGCACTTTGTATTTACAGTCTATCTTATTTTGAAGGCACGATTAAACGTGACCCTAACGGCCAGATAGGACGTTCCTTGTGTCATGATTCGTGTTTATTATTATGTTTCGAAAATACCACAGTTTTCATACGGGTCGTATCATATTATTTTGTTGTATTTATTCGTTGCACCTTAAAGTCCGGTCCCTGAAAATATTGTCTGACATTAAACCAGTCCGTGGGGCAAAAAAGGTTTCGGGACCGCTGTTTTAGATGAAGTGTTTTCAACAAACAGGAAGTCTAATTCTCTTCGTGGATTCCCAAGACTGAGAATGGACACGGGCTAATAATGTTCAAGTCGACGTGGACACGTACTTCCCACCATGGGCTTCCAACTGGCGCCGTTGGTGATGCCCTGGCCCCTGGTGACATCGTCACCGTGGCAGGAGCCGCGCTGGACCTCGGTCATGGTCAGGTGACTGTGGGCGTAGGACATGGCCAGCCAGCGGAACATGACCTCGTCGGGCGTCTCCCGCAAGGCGCCCTCGTTCTGACGCTGGATGCGGGCCCATGTGTCCTCACTCATCTCGTCGTTGGCCCTCCAGCGGCGGTTATCGCTCATCTTGGATAACACAAGGCCATCAGGATACCAAAGTCATGATATGGCTCTCTTTCCCGGATTGGAGGTTTGATTAAGTCACATGTGCAAGTTTTCGCCATCAAGCAAGTCCCGAGTCACCATTGCAATAAAAAGTAGAGTTGACCCAAAATATTGACAGCAAATTAGCTACTTTCCAGTCAGTATCTGTTCTTACGCTAGTGAACTGCACCCGCCGTTTTCTAATGGTCCCAAAACCAGTCTTTCAGTGTTCTATTACTGTACATGGTCTTTTCGATTACCCGCATAACTGACATGCATCTTATTTCATGATTAACCAGCTTGTGGTGAGCTAAATGTGACCGTCTGTTGTCGCTCACCCCGCCTTCTCTGGGTTTTATCGAGACAGAAGAAATTAGACGTCGTCATCGGTGTGTCTGTTAATTGTGACTTACGAACCTTGCTCGTCTCCCTTCTGTTTTTCTTGATTTTAACCAAAACACAATGCTTGAATCCAAATCCAATCATCTTCAAATCTCCTTCCGTGATTATTCACACGGTGGGTTCTGGAATCCACATCATAGCATACTTGTGGGTCGCCGGGTTAAATACATTTGATTTCAAAAACAACACTACCTTGAAATATCTGATTTAATATTCAAACAGGCAGGACTCGTCAAGTAAAGTAGTTCAAGTAGAGGTCAAGTCGAATCTTGTGAGTATCAAGTCAAAGACAACCCAGAGTCTTTCACTAGACTGTCCTGAGTCGAGCCATGTGACTTGAGTCCCCACCTCTGCTTTCCCGGTGGGCAGCCTTACCGAAATCTGCGGCCGCTGCATGTCAAAAGGGAACGTGACCAATTTCTCGCCACCTTGGAAGTTCGCTCCCAACACAAAAGGGTTGCGCTCCATCCAGGATATGATCGCTTTGGTTTCCACGGCCATCTAAACGCCGAAAAGAAAGCAGAGGTTTTTAGTTTTGGTAGTTTGTGTTCGCAGGAGTGAGCAGTGAGGGTCAAAAAGGCCATCTGTGCGGGTCCAAGATCACTATGCAGTGTACAAGTAAATTCCCATCTACCAAAATGCAACTGAAAGCGCATCCAACTCACGGATCCATTGAGGAAGTTCTCCGGCATAGGAATGTGATGGTTGGGAACAAAGCGTGGCACCCAGCCACGGTCCTCCGCCCCCCACAAAATGCTGTTGAGATCCGGAAAATTTTGGAAAATGTCATAACCCTCCTCAGTCCAGTGGCCCAAAACCCAGTTTCCCATCTCAGACCCCTAAAGGACAAGAAGGACGGAAAGACAAAGGGCGTCAAATCTCCAACGTGACCCAAAAGTGGCACAGGGTGGCTTTTTCTTGGCCGTCGTACCGCCTCAAAGGCCAGCTCGTACGCGTC